GTAGGGAAAACAATCTGAATAAAGAACTCTAGTGTTTTTCTCTGGTTTCACTCACAGGGAATGGAGGGCAGACTTTGTTGGGAATGGAACAGTTTTTCTGGAGGTAAGGAGAATGTTGTTGTGTATGAACCCATTAGCAAGACAGTCACCTCTAATCTATCCTTGGCTATTTTGCAGACGTAACACCAGTTCCTATTAAGTCTCCCAGCTGAAAGAGAAAAAACATGCACATTCTCCTTCCTTTATTCCTGTAAATTCTCAGGAAAAACAAAAAAAACCAAAACAATCCTGCTAGAAAAGTTTAGACAGCATCGTGAAATTATAAACCTTCAGCACTGGAGAAGTCTTGTTTTTATGAAATCACCTGGATTCCTGCATCTACACTCAAAGATGCTGACTCTGATGTTACCACCAAATAAGAATACCCCTCACACTTTTGCTGCCTGCTCAGGATACAGCTCCACAGCATTCGAAGCTGACCTAAGGTGAGCAGGATCACTGTCAAGCAGACATGCTTCCTCATGTCCTGCTTTGTGCTGGTTCAGGAAGTGAACCAGATGAAAAGCACCTTGTTCCCCAATTCACCACCTGGTCACAACTGTTGGTCCTCTTTCTGGCAGAGGACAAGCCCATATGGTTAAAACACAGGACAATCTCAGCCTGGATTTAGACTGTTCTCAGCAGTTATAACACAGACATGCTCAAACTAGATTTAACCAAGTACATCTGGGTAGCAAAAGCACTTCAGTTTCAACAGCACAAGGATTTAGGTGCACTTATTTCCTCAGAGAAATGAAAGGCAAGAGAACAAGTTCTGAAAGGATCAGTCTTTTATTTTACACCTGCATTAATGGCCTTAGCATAGAAAACAGCAATACATTAATGAAAACTACAGACAACGGAGTAGTACAAATCAAAGACAACATCATACAAAAATAAATGATTCTGAAGAGGGCAAGAATAAGTATGGGGTGACATTTAGCTACAAAAAATGCAAGGTTACAGACTCAGATTACTATTAAGGTGTGATCTCTCAGGAGCAGGGGGATGAAAAAGCCATGAGAACACCAATGGAATGCAAAATGAGCATGAATCACCAGTATGATACAGTCCTGAAAGGCAGACACAGTAACATTAACACAGGAAAATATCAATGCCCCTTTACCAACTGCTAGTCAATTTCCCCTTCTCATTCTTTTATGATTTGGGTTTTTTTTCAGTTTTGCCTATGTTAAAAGAAGAGCAACACAAGGGTGAAAAGCTAAATTTCATGGCTAGGCACTGAGCCAGTCCTCAGGTAAGAAACTAGTGACTTCAATGTGTCAATCTTCTTTTGGATGCCATTTCTTCTACCTCAACCATAATGAGACCCCAATAAAAGTGAACACAATAGAGTGCTTTGCCATGACATCTGGCAAGCAGTGTGTGATAACAGGCACCTTAGTCCACAGTGAAACCTGTCCTTCCTGCAGAAGGTAGAGACTGAAGAAAACATGAAATCAGTCTGAGAAAATATTTCTACAATGGCAATACTAACATAATTTAGTCTTTAGGATGTTTGTCAAAAGTCACAAGCAAAACTGTAAACTGCTATTTTTCTGCCATAAAAGTATCACTATCCAATCAAATCTCCAACCTCCAGCTCACCCATCACAAGGCAGCTGGGAATGATTCTGAACATTAAGGGGGTGCGAATCTGTGCATTTGCATCCGTCTTTCCCTGAATAATTTCGATAAGCTCTTGCAGAACATTTCAGTTTGAGGACGACACAGGGACTCGACATCTCATTAACCAAACCATCAACCACTCCCACTCCACCGCGCACACACACACAACATGCTTGCTCACAACAGCGCGCCCACACACAACCACGACCCACACACGACCA